TTTTTTTTTTTTTTTTTTTTTTTTTTGTACTACTGTGTCCTTGAGTTCTATGGCAATGGAAAAAATTTAACTCCACGATGCCATTAGAGGGCAGAACCCAATCTATCATTTTGAATCCTTCAAAACTAACGAAACCAGTGGAACTAACTTTTTGTGTATCATACACTTTATCGCATGTGCAAGTTCCAGTCATGCTGTGAGATCCCACATTAGTTGAAGAGGAGAACGAAATCTTTTCTAAGTAGATGCATTTTAAAAATCTTGAAGAGAAGCCCGAAAAAGAAAACACAAAAAAGACAACATCTGCGAGCAGGTTGTTAAACATTTACTCAAATCACCATTTATAAGGACGTGGAAACCTTTTTCGAAAGGGAAAGCCCAAAGAGGATAATATCTGCCGTCTCCTCAAATCACCATTTATAAGGGTGTGGAAACCTTCCTCGAAAGAGAAAGCCCAAAGAGAGGACAATATCTGCTAGCGGTGGGCCTGGGTCGTTACAAATGGTATCAGAGCCAGACACCGGACGATGTGCCAGCCTTCTTGCTGTAGCCTTCTCGCTGTTCCCCGAATGGGGGTAGACACGAGGCGGTGTGCCAATAAAGACGTTGGGTCCCAAAGGGGGGTGGATTTGGGGTGGTCCCACATCGATTGGAGGAAGGAAAGAGTGCTAGCGAGGACGCTGGACCCCAAAGGGAAGTGGATTTGGGGGTGGTCCCACATCGATTGGAGGAAGGAAAGAGTGCCCGCGAGGACGCTGGGCCCCAAAGGGGGTGGATTGTGATGTCCCACATTGGTTGGGAGGAGAACAAAGGTGGATTGTGATGTCCCACATTGGTTGGGGAGGAGAACAAATCATCCTTCATAAGGGTGTGGAAACCTTCCCCTAGCAGATGCGTTTTAAAGCCTTGAGGGAAAGCCCGAAAGAGAAAACCCAAAGAGGACAATATCTACTAGCGATGGATCTGGATCTGGGTACAAAAATAGGGAACTTTTTTAAGAAGTACATAATAATAGATAGTGACAAAAACTGGATCCAATATTGCAACAAAACTGGATGTAAATATGGCTATCCACATACACCAAAGCAATCAAAATATACTAACCCCCTCCGCTGACAATTGAATCTGAAATATGTTGTGTGAGCTGGAGATATACCACATAATCTCCTTCAGTTGCTTAAAGTCACATTCTCCATTCGACTTTCTATATCAGTAGCCGTGGAGCCACTTAGTTCGGTCTCGAGCTGTTTACATGAATTTCGCAGATCGGTGCATGCCTGAAGAAAGCCTTCTGAATTACCATTAAGACTTCCTAACTCTGCCTGCATATTGTCAAGAAAGCTAGAAATTTTCTCAGAAGCTGCTTTAATGGCAGGGATCTCTTGTGGGGGGTAAAGACAAGCTCCAAGCTCGTCGACCTGCACTCCGATTCCTTGGCATAGTTTCAATAGATTCTCCAAGGACGCTATGTTACTTTGAATGTTTGCATTTTCCAGCTTGAGCAAACTTGTGATAGAGCGGATGAGTTCCTTTGTAACTACAAGTATTGAAGATACAACACTCATGGCAGATTGAGCAACTCTCATCTCTTCTGCTGACAAATCGTTACCTATATCAGCATCGTCGCTTGTATTACCGTCATCTTGTGTATCAGCTTCTACTTTGCTTGAAGATTCTTCAGGAGCTTCGTCCAAGTCAGAGGAACCTTGTTTAAGATCCTTCATCTCTCGGAGGACGTCCTTCACCGACACAGCTACCTGGGTTATTGCTCGGCCAATTGCAGTTATATTTGTGGAAGGAGTTTTCTTAAGGGCAGAGCAAGCATCCCAAACCGCACCAACCAACTGTGGAACTACTTGGTTTTGGTCCTTGTTATTCTGTGATCCTGAAAGAATGTTGATTCAGTGTCATCAAAAGAGAAAGACGAACATAGATTATGATTTGGCTAGATGCAAAAAGGAACTCACAAGAACATGCGACTGAATTTAACCCTATCATCAAAATTTGATGATGGAAACTTCTGATAGTTGGAAAAGTAAAACTTCTCTACCTCCATGATATTGTAATAGATAATTTACTTTAACATGAACTCGAGAGTACCCCTACTTATATCGTGGGTGTTCAACTAATCCCTCCTCTTCCATGTTAGGAATCACGATTCTCCACAATGGTATGATATTGTCCACTTTGAGCATAAGCTCTCATAGCTTTGATTTTGGTTTCCCCGAAAGACCCCATACCATTGAAGATAGTGTTCCTTGCTTAAAACCCATGATCATCCCCGTAATTAGCCAATGTGGGACTCTCTCCCAACAATCCTCAACATCCCACGGACAAACTTAATTCAGCATCAGTTTACTTTAATCCAGAATTCAGTTCCCAATACATTATAGTTGCAACATCATACAAAGCTTATGATGTTAACATTCTTTAACACTATTTGTTAGGTTCCATCGAAACGACATCCAGAGCCAGGTAGATACAAGAAAACGGTGAATTAAACCAAACTCAGTGACAATGTACAGCAAGATCCATCTATCTGTCAAAGGTGTCCTGAGGCAGAAAATTGGACAGCAAACAGCAAACAATAAACCACTTATTCCTTCAGAATTTTTCCTTCTCTAAATTCTTTCAAGAGAAAATTCACAGGATCTTTCCCTTCTCCCGATCGATGTGGGATAACCTAATGACGAAAGTTTAGGTCGAAATTTACGATGGAAAGTAGGGGAAGAGTAATTTACCATAGAAGGAGACGGATTCCTTCCATAACCTAAAACTGGAATCAATTACTTGCTTCACAGCTGCATGGATAACAGAAGACAGAGTAGGGCCAGCACCCACTTTACTCCCAAAGGAAACCAGGAGGAAACCTTGCAGCATGTTGAAATAAGCTGCCATGTTTTCCTCAATTGCTTTAACTTCTAGCCTTTCTCCAGTCCACACCATTCCAGCTACAGGGCAAAAAACAAAGATATAACCAATTTAATTCGTTGTCATTAACTGCAAGCAACCAAGTTTAGGAACATAAAAACAATTTTAAAAAATCTCTTCCAATTCTTTGTCATTAGAGAAATCCGTAGGACTTAAAGATAAACACATTCTCAAATCAAAACATCAAAATTGAGAATCCTGTTGAAACACAATTACAATCAACAACTTACAGCTTAATAATACATCTATTCAACTCTCCCATCCCCATAGTTGCAGAACAACATTAGCAATACCAAGAACAATTATAAATGAAACGGAAACCTACCGACACTCGCCTGCTTGTAGACTTGGTCGCCCATTTTTACAACATCCTCCCACTTCACGTTTTCAAGGGAAGAAGATGGATTTTGATCCAACATCTACAAGTCAAAACACGAAAAGAGAAATCATATCGGAAGTTTGAACCTCCATACAAATGCAATTCTAAAAGCAGAAGATTATCTGAAAATCGAACCTGAAAAGTTTCATGGATGGTATTCAGATGTGAATTGAGAGTTCGGATGAGTCGCTCTTTATCCGCTTTCCCCATCACAATCGGTGAGTGTCTTCTCTGAGATTGGGAACTTGATTGACAGAGTGATGAAGCTCTGAGAGAGTCGGAGACGGAAAGATGGGGTTTTACGATTGCCTGAAAAAGGCGTATTTATTTGCGGGGTTTTTCATTTTCTAAGAGAATAAAATAAAACGGCGTTCCTATTTGTTTTATTATTTTAAGTTTAAAAGAAAAAACATTTTACTTTATAAAAGTTTTTTTTTTTTTGGTAAAGATTTAAATGTTTTCTTAATAAAGATATTGATACATTGAAAATATATATATATATATATATATATATAATTTTAAAAATTCAAAACTAATGAGATTAATTTAGCTCTTGTAATTTAAAATTTATTACAAATTAATCATTAAATTTTGTAACGAGTTCAAATTCATAGAAACATACGTGCATTTAAAAATTTTAATTTATATTGTCTAACGAAATGTTATCAGAGCCACTAGACACCTGAAAATGTGCCAGCCTTCTGACTGTTCCTCGAAGGGGGTAGACACGAGGCAGTCGCTAGACACCTGATAATGTGACAACCTTCTGACTGTTCCTCGAAAAGGGTAGACACGAGACAGTGTGCCAATAAGGACGCTGGTCCCAAAGGAGATGGATTTGATAGTGGTTCCACATCGACAGACACGAGACGGTGTGCCAGTAAAGACGCTGGCCCCAAAGAGGTGGACTTGGTAATGATCCCACATCGATGGGAGGAAGGCACGAGGACCTAAAAACGCTGGGTCTCAAAGGGGGTAGATTGTAATGTCCACATAGGTTGAGGAGAAAAACAAAATACTCTTGTGTAGAAACTTTCTCCAACTAAACACATTCTCGAAAAGAAGCCCAAAGAAGACAATATTTGCTTGCAATGGTGGATTTGGACCGATAGTACATCTACTTCTCCTCTCCTCCAACTTAAATTATTCCAAAATTCTAAGAACATGAAAGTTTTAGAAAAGATTAACTCGATGATCAAAAGTACAAAAGAAAACTTGTTTCTAAACTAGTAACTCAACTAGTAACATATGAGTAACTGAAAGGTCAAATTTGAATCATGCAACTCAAAATCGTTTAATAAGTTCTAAAATTTTCACAAAAAAGTGGACGGTCTCAAGATCTCTTACATAGCTTAAAAAAAAAAAAAAAAAAAAAAAAAAAAAAAAAAA